CCGGGTCTGTTAGGTGCAAGAAATACAGTTTCAAACTGGAGTGAATCATTTTTAAATAAATGTTTGTGCCCATTTATGGCATCGATGGGGATGACTTTATTGTGCTGTTTCCTATAAAAGCTGCCTTGTTTTATATACTCTTTATGGAAACAGCATGCAGTCGTAAACTAGAAGATGCAACTACGCCGGGTCTTTTACTGGTGGTCCTGTGTTTTCCTGCCAGAAGTGCAGCTGTTTCAAGTTTCTCAGGATAACTTATAAAAGGCTGTGTGCACACTGCAAGTTTATGCTTGAATTGCCAAGCCAGAGGTGGAATGACTCAACCTTCCCGGGAGCGACATGTACCGAGACGCGATGAATCAAAACAGCTCATTTAAACTCAGCGGCTTGCCTTACAGCTCTGGAAACCAGTTCTCATCTGCGAGACTGCATCCGGCCTGTCAAGTTGAAGAGCTGCTCTGGTGACGACGTTGGCCATAACCCGGAGCTCGTGCTCAAAAGGATGTCGCAGGCTGGTGTACACCTCAGTTGAGGATCTGGCCTGCTGTCTCTATGCAGGAGAGGGGATTATGAGGTTGCATCCTTCAATAAAACATTCGAGGCTCATTGAACCCTGTTGCTTTTTACACAAAACTGTCACTTTTAATGGGAGGGCAAAATGGTTTCAGGATGAAAGGGCTAGAAGCCAAGAGCTCTGTAAAGAACAAGTGAATGTCGTCTTCTGCAATTTCCATAGTTTCATAGTTTCTAGGGTTGGAAGGACCTGAGCAGATCATCTAGTCCGACCCCCTGCCATGGCAGGAAAGAGTACTGGGGTCAGATGACCCCAGCAAGGTGTTCATTTAGCCTCCTCTTAGACCCCCAGGGTAGGAGCCAGCACCACTTCTCTTGGAAGTTGGTTCCAGATCCTAGCCGCTCTGACCGTGAAGTATTTTGGGTCCTTGGCTCAAATGTGGGCTGGCTGTTCTGGCGCCTGTGTGGTATTGGTGCATTTTCTTATAGGCAGGTTCCCTCAGCAGCTCTCTGTCTCAGCTTCCCTATCTGTAAAATGGGTATATGGCTTAAAAGCATAAGGGTGCTGGGAAATATTCTGGCTTGTTGGTGCTCCCATTAGACACCAGTGTCGCTGCATCGGGTCAGCAGAAACACTCTGGGCATCGCAGCTCGGGAAACGCGATGTCAGTATTGCTGTCTCCAAAACCACCAGGCCTCTGGGAATCCTTCAGGCAGTGCCAGGATGTTCACGTTGCTGTTGTGTCGCAGCTACCGGGGGCTAGATAAGTCTATTAAGCCGTCAGTCTGGCACCTTTCACTAGCACTAGGGCCAGGTCCGTGACTGAATATTTAAGTTTCTCAAAGCGTGCACCACATATTCAGGTGATTTGGCACAGCAGGTGTGCAGTCTGAAATGTGGGAGGTGGCTTTGGCACTGCTGTTTTCTGAACCCACAGGTCTTAGATTCTGAATGACAGAAGGGAAAGGACTGCCCCAAACTCCAATCTGTCTAGTTCCTGGTGCGTAGGATGCATCTGTTTGCAGGCTCAGACAATGTTCTGTGTTTCAGGTACCTAAATCACGTCCGAGCTGCTTCTCCACAGGATCTTGCTGGAGGCTACACTTCTTCCCTCGCGTGTCACCGAGCCCTGCAGGATGCTTTCAGTGGGCTCTTCTGGCATCCCAGCTAGCTGGCATACACCCGCCTGGGAGAAATGGATGCTGGCGAGGAACAAACAGCGAATTTTGGGTACGCTGCTACCCTCTGCACTATGGGGAAGTGGCTGTCCCTTCCCTGCTTGAGCCAGCTCTGTTTGGGTATTCAAAAGAAAAAAGTCTGCACCCGAGCTATGTGAAGTGAGATACGTGCTTGTGGAAGGGGGAACTCGTTAGTCATGGGGCACTTTGCTGAAGGAGGCTGAGAGGCACGAAGCCACATCAGATGGAAGATGTGAATAATTCTGCGGTGTATGTTTGAGGTTTAAAAAACAGACTTGTAAATTTTTTAGAAAATAAAGCCAGACTTTTTATTGACTCGTGTGGTTTTTTTGCTCTTACTGCAGGGCTGCATTGGCACACGCATGTAAATGCTATTTTGGTTATAACTAGTCTTGTCAGTATTCAAGCTTGTGTTTTCTTCCCAGAAAGCTAGTGTCCTCCTTCCCCCCCCCCCCAGCTCAGCTAGCACGTTTGGTTCCTGCTGGCGGCCACAGATGAGGAGACACCACTTGCAGACTTCACAAAATGAGTGACATCAGATACCCGTGTCCGAAACAGAAGCAAGATCTCTGGTTGCGAACCTTTCACCTCTGTCCCTGCAGAAGCAGCTGAAGTGCTGGTTGATCCCACTGCAGGTCATTCTAGTTGGTGGAGGCCAAACTACATGGCCAGGAAGGGAAAAAGCCTTTAGCTTCCTTGCGGTAGTTTTTCCCCACGGAGCTGTTTTGTAAGCAGCACAACAGGCTTCTAGTTCAGGAGGGCATGCCCACAGGACACATCCTCCTCCACCTGCCCACATCTGCTCTCCCAGGCCTGACCTTCAGGATACTCCCGACCCCACAACCTTTACTACCGCTGGTCCCCTTCAGGGAGAGGGAGGGAAGCCCAGAAACCGTTGTGGAAGAGGTGGAGCCTTGGGCATCTTAACAGGCATCTGCACTGTCTTGTGGATGGGCCATTCTGGGCACAAAGCTAGCAATGCAAGCATGACCTGCTTTGGGCTAGTGCAGGTGGAGAAGGAGAGAACCTCCTCCCCTCTTCCTCTGGTTATTTGGGAGTTCCCCTTTTAAGCTCCAGCTCATCGGCCCTCTGAATGCAACTGCTTGCTGCCTTCCTGCGCTTAATGTGAATGCAGAGACAGGCAGCTGGTACGTGCAAGCAATTAGTTACCTTGCCAGCAAGAGTCGGTGCAAGGCTCTGTTTCTGGGAGTAGAGACAATAATTACACACGCGAGTCTGCACTGAATATTTTGAAACCGTGGCCTGCAATGTGCCTAAATGCAATTATATTTAAACACCTTAAATGACATATGAAGTACAATGGAAGGCTCTCTTGAGCCACAGGGCCCAGCCCCCTGCATTTGCAAGCAGTCATTTACCACAGGAATCCCCCAAATTGTCAATTCCTCATACACATCATCTAGACGCAATCTCCAAACACCATACAACAGGGGTAGCCAACCTGTGGCACAGGCAGCGTCTGTGTGTAGCACATGGCAGATCAGGGAGGGGACAGGCAACGTGGTAGCAGAAGGCAAAGCAGCAGATCAGGAAGGGAGCACAGGACAGGAAGCAGAAAGCAGAGCAACAGATAAGACAGAGGAAGGGGATCAGACTGGCACTCAGGGAGGGTGTGGAGCTCATTTGCAACAAGCCTGCCAACACGGTTGCTCCCTGCTGCCATACAACATGCTAGGGGAGAGATGAGGACAGAGCCAACACCCTGTCCCTGACCACTTCCCTGTAGCTGCATTCAGATGTTCCCAAGATCCTAGGAAAAGGGCGATGCCCCTTTCTAGAGGAAGGCAAACAAAACCCAGGTCTCTGGTTTCTACTCTTGTAGCACCTAGGAGCCCCAACCATGGGACAAGTCTCTTCCAAACAGACTTGAAAGGACTGCAAGACAAGACCCAAGCAGCGAGTCCCTGGGGAAGTACAGGGCAGTGGCAAGATGCTACTGAGCGGTAGGTGTGAGGGTCTCAGCAGGCCAGCAGCTGAAGCCCTCAGTCTTCTGTAAGCATCACTGCAAACAAGTCTTTTAAGGAGGGATCTGAAGGGGAGCAAAGTGGCTTTGCAGGTGTTTCCAAGCGCACGAGGGGAGCATGGGAGAAAGCACAAGCATGTCAGTGTAGCAAGAGGGATGATAGAGGTAATTGTTAAGAGTTTGATGCTGGAGGCACAATGATGGATACAGGGAAGGAAGGGTTTGAGAGTGCAGAATAAGAGAAGCAGCCAATGGAGCAAAGCAGGCACATGTTCGCAAGGACTAGGAAAGGTAGCTCTGCAGTAGCATTTTGGGTAGATGAGAGTGGTTCAATACTGCATTTGCCAAACCAGAGATGTGAGATAAGAGCCTGGTCAAGGGCGTTCTAGGTGTGTGCAGCAGAGGAAAGGCCCTGCTTTGAGAGGGTATGCAAAAAACAGAAATGCAAGATTTAGACAGTCTGACTGAAAACATAGAAACAGGGTCAAAGATGATGCCCAGGTGGGCCCGAGTGACAGGCAGGATGGTGATGTTCCCCACAGCAAGGGAGAAAGATGCAAGTGGAAATGGGGTCCCATTTTAGCTGAACAGAGTACAGACACTTAGATGTCAGAGAAAAGGCTGATCCTGTGTGCATGGATAAGGTGACCCATGAAAAGGTAAGAGGGAGAGGGGAAGGGTTCAAGGGCAGAGCCTGTGAAGCCCACACTGAAAGCTTGAGGGGAAGAGGAGCATCCTCTGAAGGTCTCACTGAAGTCACAAATGAAGAGATGCAGGAGAACGACCAGGAGACTGTGGGGTCCATGAAATAAAGGGGAGTGTGGGTAATCGTGCCCTATATGCCAAGCTTGTACCAAATCTTTCGTGTTGCATGCTGATGGTCGTTTAGTAGTCAGTACAGTAATACGGCAGGGTCCTTCCACCTTTAGCTAACAGCATGGAGCTCTAAGCCCCTCCTGTTAATACCAGTGATCACTGGCGCAGCACAGATACAAATCTGTGCATCTACCTGGACCTCAGAGCATGTTTTTCAAAGCTGTCTTTACTTAGACACACTGGATCTGCCTGAGAAGCCAAGGCACACCCAGCCAAACTGTGCCAATTCAGGTGGCCTTGCACATACAGCATCATCACAGAAGAGTTCACGTTTCCACAGCTTCAAGGCGGAAGGAAATGTCCATGTTCAGGTGCCACCCTGCCATGAGCTGCATAAAGCTAAACCAGGAGACGTGCCTAGTCTGGGTTAGCACACCACGCTTTACTTTTCCTTTCTTAAGGAAGGACCTGGACAATGGAACCGTTATAAAATGAGGAAATAAAGTTTAATATCCTGTGCAATAAAATAAATGATTTCATTGCTTTGATGCTGGAATTAAAAAAAAAAAAAAAACCAAAAAAGCCACCAGGGAGCAGGCTGTTCACAAAAGAAAGATGCAACGCACACTTTATGCATTAGGACGCTGCATTGTCTTAGCCTAAGGAAGAACTCAGCCTGCCTTGATTAGCCTGAAGGCCAGAGGTACCCAACCTGCATTACCATGTCTTCCACGAATTAATGACAAAGGACTGGTCAGTGCTCTTGTCAACTGATTGATTTTTCTTCAGAAGAATCTCCATTTGGGCGCAGACGTTTAGAGGCCGGTTCCTCTGGACTCACTGGAACAAGATCAAAAAGGGGTAAGTTATTTCACAGGCAACAAAAGAAATCTATACGACGGTGTCTGCACTGAACTACTGGAGTCGCGACACTTGGACATATCACTGAGACAGGTCAAGTCAAAGCAGAGAGCCAGAGTGGGCAGTCTGACCTGGGTGGAGCTGGAGCTGGAGCAGAGAAGCAGTGTGGGGAACTGGAGACCAACCCTGGCTGTGGTAGCTGAAGGAGTTCCCTGCACTGAATGGAGAAGCGATACAAGAGGCTGGAGGAATTGTGAGTAGGCCCAGGAGGCTGCAAGCTGAGAGAAACTCGCAGAGCTGAGCAGAAGCCTGGGGAGAGCTTAGAGAAGGCAGCCCAGCTGCAGCTGCACTGGATTGGGTTGTTCTTTATGCTGCTGTTTTGGTTGAAAGGCATGGGAGGAAAGGAGGCCACTAAAGGTGACCTGCAGAGGGGCTTAGATTACTGTTGAGTCAGTGGGCTGCCGGAGGCCCTGTGAACCATGACCCGGTTGTCAGAGCCCGAGCAGTGGTGCAGAGCAGGACACCCAGGACCACCATTCTGGTTCTCTGGAGGTGCTTTCCAGAGTTATTAATAACAGCAAAGATGCAGCAGGCAAAGCCAGGGTGATACTTGGAGTGAGACCAGGGTGGAAGGAGCAGGATTAGAGTGGCTACAAGGAGGTGCTGCTCCCACTGCTAGCGACAGATCCCATTTCAGAGGGGAAGTTTAAGCCAAAACAGAGCTAAAAGATGTAATGTGAACTGGCGTAGCTGACCTGAGGATGCACGGTTCCACTGAACTTGGGAAGAGTTTCAATAGATACTTCTGGGAGGGCAGGTGGCTATATAAGCATTTCCCTATTAAAACGGGTAGGACCTGATTCTGTCTGCTTGGAGGTTTCAATCCTAAACTGACTCCATGCAGCCACAGAACCCACCATGCAGATGGGCCCCAACATGCAGGAGAGGGACTAAGACAATAATATCATTGTGCCCGAGGTGAAAGTTAGCTCCAGATTCATCTTAATCCTCTCTCTAATATACCCCTGACTTCCTTTCTGAAGTGTCAAGGCTGCAGCTTGCCAGCGCTAAGAACTGAGCAGCATGAATCTAGGACTTACCTTCAGGAGGGCACTGCCTCTTGTACAGCACATCAGCTGGGACCTGGAAACTAATGCACAGCATTTCCTTATTTGGTGCCACATTTCTCACCAGTCGAACAGAACAGCGTCCCTCTAAGAATGTTCCCAAGAAAGCTTCTGCTCTGTCTTGAATGTCTTTGGCAGGATTATCGTGTTTGGAGAAGCTGTAACAGTGCACTGTGGGAAGGAGATTGGAGCTGCATGGCTCCCCGTCTAAGAGATGCTTGAAAACATCCAGAAATTCAACAGCCAAAGCTGGCAAATTCATGACTATATGTAGAGAGTTTTTCTTTTCTTTTGTTGAAAGCGAGAGCTCTTCAGTTAGGTGTTCTTTCACAGGCCCCCTGAGGAAATCCCGGCCATCCATGTTAAAGACTTGTATTGTTCTGTCCACCTTGTTCAGTTTACAGTTGTGCTGAAGCCATTTGTAGGAGTCAGGGTTTAGATCATTTGCAAATACTCTGCACTTCTTCCTGGCTGCTAGGATGGCAAAAGGTCCAACCCCAGCAAAAACATCAAACAGAACATCCCCCGGCTTTAACAGGTCGACGATGCGGCTGTGCTCTGTGCTCAGGCGTGGGTTCCAATACACTTTGGAGAAGTCAAATTCATATTGGATGCTGTTTTCTTTAACCTGAAAGTCCAAGACATTGGGTTAAACATCTCATATTCAGATTCCAGACACATGCATGTTTAAGCACCAGAATTAATTTACTGCAGCAAAAAAGAAAGCATGTTACTAAAATGGAATGGGTACATTGATATTAACACTATTGATGGAACAAATGAGTCTTGTGTGAGCAAAATAAAATTTTTGTCCCCAGCTGGCACTCTCCCCTTTCTATGGAAGGGCCACAGAAAGATGCTGTAGCCACTGTAGGGAATTTTTCAGTGTCAATCCAGCTATCTGGCCTGCATTTGTATAAACTGACAAGCAGAGGGGAAGCAACTTTAAAAGAATCATAAAAAAAAAAAATCCTTAGTCCCTTCAAGGGCTTTACAGCAGGCTGCCAGCTGCTTTACCGCTAGCTGGTTTCAAAAGGGGATGCCTCAAGCCCTCTTTTGTGTCAAGTCCATAGTGACTGTCTGAAGGACAGACAATACAAGAATAACAGATCTAAGCTACATGGGACCCAATTCTACAGCATTTTGTAAGGGCGCTGCACTTGGCCTCTGCAGATAGCAGACATCAAGCACCTGAGTCCCATCCAACAGGAAACTTGATGACTGAAGTCCTCTGAATGGACAAAAGATGTAATATAACACCAAAAGGAGGTGGATAGTTTAGACCACTGCACAAGTTTATGGCCAATAATGAGAATTACTGCATCATTTCAACTGCTAGTTCCCAAACCATAGTTTACATTCTGGTGCCAACAGTGCGAGAATCTCTACAGGACTCCAGCCTCACTGAAATAAAAAGCTAATACTGTCTTTGCAATCTTAAATGAAATCTGATGCTTTATATTCCAAGTAGATCTTGCACCTACATGTGCAGAAAACTTTACTGCACCAAACTAGAAAATTGCTTTGTTTCAGACTATAAATTTAGTTAAACAAAACAGTGGATAATGGTTGCTTAAACTTCCATGTGAACCTCAGATACCCAATTTAAGGAATTATATTTTGCACTTAAATAAAGTGCCTTTCATCCCAAGGATCCTAACACACATTATTACGGTGAGTTTTATCATCACAGGCGTTTGCTTATGCCACAAAGTGGGTCAGTGGTAAAGATCAGCACTCAAGTCTCAGTCCTATTTTCCAGCCACTGTAGGTGAACACACATTTATCTTCTTGGGCAAATACATTTAACAATGCAAAATAGCCCTCATATGCTTCTGGGTAAAACAGACCAAGAGATTCTAAATAAGGATCGCTGTCGAAATCCATTACTCGACCCAGATTTGAATGGGTGGTAAAACCTATAAAAACTGAAATAATGCTTAGCTACATCATCCCTACGAAGATGATCTTAACAGGGCCATTATTTCACTCCCCATAGGCTGGGATGTATGAAACATCACACAGCTGTCAGGTACTGAGAACCACAGGAAGAAAAGAAAGAGTTTAAAAAGTTTTCTAGCATCTTTCAATTGTCCCTGCTTTTCTACTGCACCTGCGTTGTAGGTGTTGTTTAAAACCTGGCTGTGCTCAAGGAAATAGGAAAAAACCATACCTTTGTCATCATGTTGGTCTCCCCAGCTAGGATCTCCATTTGAAAATTTCGGTAAGTATTATCAATGGTGTTGATTTTATTTACTACACAGGTGATTCCTGGATTTTTGTCAATGATAACCTGGCCTGAAAGAAAGCAATATATTCAAATCTCAAGTGTTGCTGTTGTACCCACTGATACACCCAGCACAGCAGAAAAGCAGAGGGGTGCTCAGGACCCCCAGCATTGCTACATCTTTAAATTCCTATTATACAGATTTGTGGTTATTTATATTATACAACTAACATTTAGTAAAATGGAAATTTAGTTGTATTTCAAATATACATTTGCTTTGGTAATGACCTACATGTGAAATCATTCACGCTATGGGCAAATGTATCTAGTAACCACTTTAAAAGGGCAGCGTGCATCAGCTGTTCTGTCTAAAGCAGGGGTACTCAATCTCCAGCCCATGGGCCAGATCTGCCCCATGGCACCTTGTCATCTAGCCTGTGGGGCTCTCCAAGTTTGGCAGCGGGGGAACAGTGCCACTGCTTCCCTACTGCCAAATCTTCTGACCTGTGGAGACTCCCAGGCCCTGCGCAGTGTCCGATCCCAGTGAGCAGAGCTGGGTGGGGATGGCACTAGGTCCATGAAGCCCAATCTGGTTGGCACAGGGCCCCTGGGACCCAATCCTGACACACGCCAGGCTGGAGGAGGCAGTGCTGGGCCCCCAAGCTTCAATCCTGGCATGAGGGACAGGGAGGAGGCAGTGCCGGGAGGGGGCAGTGCCAGACCCCAGGGCCTGATTCACTTCATAGACAGACCCTGTGTCACTCATCTGACCCACAGAGCCACAAGGCTGAACATCACTGGTCTGCTGGATGCTGTACCAATTGCAGTTAGTGAACTGTTAATGTTGAAAGGGTTTTCTGACACTTGTATCTCTATGGGATCATGCAGCTGTAACAGGTCCATGGTAACATTTACTAGTGACACAATTATTACATCTGTCATTGTATACTCTCAATGTGGTAGGAATTAGTTCCCCTTGTGCCACCACAGAAGTGTCACAAAGTCCCCCACAATGCAAATACCTGACATTGAAAAACAAAAGGAATCACAAGATCATAAAAAATGAGAGTTGGAAGGCACCTCAGGAGGTCACATCCAGTCCAACCCCCTGCTCCAAGCAGGACCAGCCCCAACTAGATCATGCCACCCAGGGCTTTGTCTAGCCAGGTCTTAAGACCCTCCAAGGATGGAGAGTCCACAACCTCTCTGGGCAACCTGTTCCAGTGCTTTACCTTCCTAGTGAGAAAATTCTTCCCAATATCTAACCCAAACTTCCCTTGCTGCAATTTGAGCCCATTGCTCCTTGTTCTGTATCTGCCACCACTGAGAACAAACCAGCTCCTCTTTGAAACCCCCCTGCAGGGAGCTGAAGGCTGCTATTAAATCCCCCCCTCAGTCTTCTCCAGATTAAACAAGCCCAGTTCCCTCTCTTCATCAGTCATGTCCTCCAGCCCCCTGACCATTTTTGTTGCCCTCCACTGGACTCTCCAATTTTTGGCTACATCCTTTCAGTATCGGAGGGCCCAAAACTGGACACGGTACTACAGATGTGGCTTCCCCATTGCCAGATAGAGGGGAAGAATCACTTCCCACTGAGCTAAATCCTCAGTGACTGTTCCTGCTCTTCAGGGAACCTATGCAGCCCACAAAGGGTTAATCTGTTCCCCCTGGCTTCAGCTCCCCTCACTGTAGTCAGGATCTCCGGACTGCCAGGCCCCTTCTCTGGCTTTTATTTCCTGCCCCTTTCCCAAGAAGCGGAGTAGGGAAGGGCCAGGTTGTGTGGCTAAGTGCAGCCTGCAGTGCTGGAGGAGCCATGGCCAAGGAGGTGAGGTGTGGGGTGGCCACCCCTTGCATGGCACAGTGGTGGAGGGGCTGCCCTCTCCCACAGTACCAGGGGAGCTTGCAGCTAGGGAGGTGAGGCTACTAAATTGGACAGCCTGGTGAATACAGCAGATCTTAGGAGACCTGAGAGCTCCTCCTAGTTCTGCTACTGATCCACGGGGCAAGTGACACCTAGAAACTGCCACGATATACCCAGTAAACTCTCATTTTCCTCCAGGGATCAGATTAATTTTGTAGCTTAATGCAATTTGTACAATCTTTAAAAAGGGATAAATTGGGAACCCAGAAAAGTAGCAATGTCACCAATTCGCAGGGCAGACTGCAGCAGGGAACTACAGCTGCCACATCAAAAGAGAAGTGTCATCCAGCTCCAATGTTGGATCCTGCTGCCGCCAGACACTTGAGTTCAGCCTGACTATTCACTTTTGTTTGCTGAGGATCAAAGTCAAAGCCAATGCTTGGTGAATGCAGGCTACTACTTTTATTGGATTAGGCTGTTTGTCTAATTTAGTCTAAGTATTTGTTTTTAAACACAAGGCTGCCGTAGGTCAGAGAAAAACTACAAAGGTGCCTAAAGTCCTCCCTGTGAATAATGACAAACTGTAGCAACTGTTAAAATGATGCTTATCTAATTGTACACCTCCCAAAGCTTTTTTTATTATTATTATTTTTTTTACATACCGATCAAATGTTTGTAGGGCAGCTGATGATCTCTGAGATTCAAGTGAGCTATATGGCCAACTCTGCTAAATCCAGAGGTGACATCTTGGCCTTCTGGGAGCACTGCTTGGAAGATTTCCTCTGCCTTGAAAAAGTCGTAAGTGAATTCCACATCATGCTTGGATAGTTCAGGAATAATATCAAACTGTTCTAATATTTTTCGGTCAGCTTCTCCCAGGGAACCTTCTGATGACATTTTATGGGGATCCAACAAAACAAGTTTATGGTGTTCATCTTCTGGATCATCAGTCACTCGTTTCAGACCCGCCCGCTGCATCACCATGTGTTTCAGAGATTTCAACAGCCTGTTTATGATTTCTTTTTTCACCTTGAGAACAGGAACAGTAATTGTTTTTTTGAAAGCAGCTCTGTCAAGTATTGTCATGCCACGTACGTCAGGATGTGGTGAATATAGTTCAGGATCAGTTTTATTCTCTACAGTTTTAGGCATCCTAAAGGAACTATTTCTTTGAACCTCTATAAAAAGTCCAGGGAGTCTGTCAAAACGTTGTGCCAATGGCTTCCAAGCTGTTGGAAATGATGTATTCGAGGCAGCTGTTCCAAAACATGTAGTTGTCAATAGTCTAGCACAGCATCCATGTAATCTCCATAAAATCCTAGAAGGGAAATTATTCATTTTATAGACATTGTGTAATCATTCCTATTTAAAAAAATAAGGTTGCAAATCAGGCGGATTTGCTGTTGTCTCAGAATAAAGCCTCCTTTTGCATCAAATCATTCACAATAGTTTTGTAAAGCTCTATTATTATGAACCACATCCCAACAATTTCTATCCCCTGGCAAACTGTGTAAAGCCAAAAAATATATTTCACAGAATCGCAGAGAAAATTACCATAACAGAAGTACTCGTGTCGCAGCCCTGGCAGATTCTACCAAAACACAAATTCTGCTAAATGCCTGTCACGAACTGTCTCAGACGGCACATGAGAAGAAGAGGAGGAAGAAGAAAAAGAACAGGAAAACAGAGCCGGCAGGGACCTCAGGAGATCATTTATTCCAATTCTCCATCTGAAGCAGGATCCTCCCTATATAAACTACCTCAGACAACTGTTCTATCCAGTTGGCTCTCAAGAAATGTTAATGATGGAGATTCTACAATTTCTCTAAGCAGTTTATTCCAGGACAACCATTCTTAATTTTAAGTAATGGACATGATTTTTATGCCAAATGGAGGATGACTTGTGCTTGCTTTAATAGACCCAATATTGCTCCTTAAGTCAAAGGGGAAATAATCCCACTGATTTAAACAGCAGTGTTATTGGGCCCTCTGGTACATCACTCACTGCTGCTGACAGTGCTAATCAAGCACTAGAAACAGACTACAGTCGTGCCAGTGGTCACAAGCAGAACCACTCCTCAGAGGTTCAGCTCACTCCAGTGAACGGGCTACCATAAAAACTGGTACAGAAGTGTGGTCTGCTTGAAGTGCTTCATTTATAGGGTATTGCAGGATGTTCCCTCCCCCCGCACCACTCACCATGCATAATGTGAGGTTCTTGGTGTTACGTGCATGGTACCGGTTCTATCTAGCTCTTTATATTGTGCCCACGGTACAGTATCTGATGTCTGGGCCTCATTGTCTCCCCACAGTGTCTGGGATTTGTCTGAACATAAGATCAATGGAACAACTTATGTCAGCTGTTGCAAACATTTGTTGTTGAAGCTTTTTCTTGCTGTGACCAATCTACCCTCATGCCAGGCCCTAACACAGTTGTCACCACTTTGCCGCTTTTGGCTTTTGTCTCTCTTCAGAATTATCAAAGGCTGCAGTGTGGTCAGAGTGGGCACACGCTGGTAACTGGGAGCTCTCACAGTGCAAGCTGAGTTTTGTGGAAGAAAAAAACCAAAGCCTGGTTCAGCAGACAGTGGAGTCTTCACTTCCAGCCCTTAAACTCAGTCAGCTACTAGCATGGCCACCTGCTTTAAGGGTTTTCTTACTGGTAATGAAAGCACTTATCTTTCAGAGAGTTGCAGCCCATCCCAGATCATGCAGCTTTCTCCATCTCGATAGGTTTTTCCCACCCCTGTCAACTGCTCCCAAGTGGGAACACTGATTTAGGTAATGCTCTTGAGAACCTCCCAGTGCCACTTATGCTTTCTGGTTATTCATTATCATGGCCCCTCTCATCACACAGCAGAAGCTCACCATGTTAAGTCGGAGTCATTCTGTTTTACGGCAACATGAGCTAGGGGAAGATGCTCTTTTTTCCAGGCTTTGCAGGAAATCCACCTTTCCTCTCTGACATAGCCTACCTTGGAGCCATTTGTGTCCCCTTCCTCACCTGCACACTACACGTAACTCCCTCCTAGAGAACTTCCCTTGACATTATTCTGCCAGCAGACATGGGTTGTAGAGGAGGAACTCAATCAGAGACTCCTTCCCACTATTACCTGCACTGGCTGCCAGTAAAACAACAGCAAACACCCAAAAAGACTATTCCCTTCAAGGTTCAAGCCTAAGGGTGTCAGACATAGGGCCCATGACATGGATACAGCCCCTGGAGCCCTATGATCTAGATCTTGAGTCTTAGACTGACCCTACATGTGGGTTGTGGAGGCAGCTCAGTGTTCAGGATGAACCCAGCGCTGTGCGCAACACAGGGGGTTGGTCCAGGCCACACGCTGCACGTGGCACAGGGGTGCACACTGCACGGGGGGGCCCTGCCGAACTAGCCCTATGTGCTGGCTCCGTGTCCAGTCTCAATCTGGCTTGCACACCAGCCCAGCACTGATGAGGCCTCACCTGGATTGCCATATGCAGTTCTGGACCCCACACTTCCAGAAAGATGTGGCCATTTCGGGAAGAGTTTGGCACAGGGGAACAACAATGATTAGGGACCTAGGAGAAAAGGCTGAAAGAATGAGTTATTCAGCCTGGAAAAAAGAATTATAGAAAAGTGGGGCTGGAAGGGACCCCCAGGCCAACCCCTGCCTGAGGCAGGATCATCCTTATCCAAACCATTGTGTACAATCAATCATCTAACCTCTTACCAAAACTACACAAGTCATCACACCCGAACCTGCTACAGCAGGGAAACCATGACGGCCGATGTCCTGCTGCTGTAAAAGGCCATTAATATACACTCAAGAGACTGCAGTTAGAGACTGTGCCCCCCTCTGCAGAGGAAGGCAAACCCCCCCTCCAGTTCAGAGGACTGAGGGGTGATTTGATCAGTCTCCAGGTACCCAGAGGTGATGACAGAGAGGATGGGGACAGGCTTTTGTCTGTGGCAGCAGGGACAGGACTAGGAGCAACAGCCTCAGGTTGCAGCAGGGGAAACTGACGCTGGAGGTTCGGAGGAGCTCCCCGACTGGGAGCACTGGCACCAGCTGCCTCGGGAGCTGTAGGAACTCCAACCTCACAGGTTTTCACAAGCACGTTGGCCAGAGGCCGGGTTGCAAGGCTCTCGCAGGAACAGGAGGCTGCACTAGCTGCGACCTGGAAGGTCCCTTCCAGCCCAGCTGCCCTGCCCGCACCCTCCCTGGGGTGGCGAGGCTGGTCCAAGCCAGGGCAAGTACAGAGAGCGTGAAGGGGCCGGGGCCTGGGCCTGGCTGCACAGCCATTCATGTTAGCCTCCCAGCCTCTGCGTGGGGCAGACCATAAATCGGATTGGCCAATAAGGAAGAAGTAACTCAAACTGGATGGGCCAATAGGGGAGGCATGAATCAAATCGGATCAGCTAATAAGGAGCTGAGTGGATTCGGATCAGCCAATAAGAAAGAAGTTAATCAAATCGGATCAGCTAATAAGGAGCAAGTCGAATCGGATCAGCCATCAGGGAAGGAGTCAAATCGGACTGACCAATAAGGAGTCAAATCGGATCAGCTAATAAGAAGCTGATGGACTAACAGGGATCGACTGAGATCCGATCGATCGGCAGGGATCGCCTCAGGCCCCGCCCCATCCCCTCACAGCGGGGAGCTCCCCACGCCCCCGACCCCAGCGCGCGCCCCTCACCTCATGCCACAGCCGGCCTGCGCGCCCCCGCCGACGTCATCGTTCCGCGCCCAGCCGTGACGGCGTCCGGCAGCGCCTGTCCCCGGCTCAGCTCTGCCCCTGGTGGGGCGGGGTCTCGCCTCAGCCCCGCCCCCCGCCTCGAGACCCCGCCCCCCGCCTCTAGCCAGTTTCCTTGGAGCGGTCGCCGGCCGTGCCGGATCGGACCGTACCACAGTATGTGGCGTGCAGACTGTATCATGCCGCGGGGGGTCGCCGCCATCAACAGGGAGCGCGGCTGGTACCTGTCGGCGCCGCAGCGGGAGGGCGGCGAGGAAGAGGAGGAGAGCGCGCCGCTGTTGCCCGCCAGGGTGCGTCGGGGGGAGTTCTACCGTATTGACGTGATACAACCCGCAGCCTCAGAACGGGGAGGGGGGGGCTTTGTACCGTATTTACCCCATACAGCCGCGGGCCCAGGGCTGAGTCTTGCTGCGGGGTGGAGTTGTACTGTATTTACCCGAGACAAGCTGCAGCCCCCAGGGCTGTAGGGGGAAAAGGTAGGTACTTAGCCGTGCTGTTTAGAGTGGGGAGGGAAGGGGAAGGGATGGAGCCTTGTGCTGTATTTACCCAACACAGCGCACCCACACCCACAGGCAGTGCTGGACCCCCCCCCCATGTACACGCAGAATAAACCACGGTCACAGCCTGCCCCTGCGGGGGGGAGGGGAGGCTGCAGGGGACTGTTGCCTGCTGAAATGTCCTTTATTTGTATTTTTGAATTTTAATTTTTGAATAATTTTTTTTTTTTGCTAACTTGATGCATTTGTTCTGTTTGCAGGCACCCCCGGATCGCGGGAGCTCCTTTGGTTTTGCAGTGTTTAATTTAATGAACGCCATCATGGGAAGCGGGATACTTGGCTTATCCTATGCCATGGCCAACACAGGGATCATGGGTTTTAGGTAAGCCAATGCCCTGCAAAAGACCGAATGAATTAAAAAAGGAAAAAAAAAAAAAGAAGCTCCCATTGCTGCATGTAACGTGTTTCTCTGGGTAATTAAGAGCAAGCTGAGCTGCGGAGGCTCGTGTGGGAGAAATGAGTTATATTGCATAAGACCTGGATGGCTTGTGCCTTTGCCATTAGCCAGTGAAGCTCTTGGCTCCTGTGTTATGTATCCAAATCCAGCCTGTGTGCGCGGTGACAAGAACCCAGCTTAAATTGCTGTCTCTAGCAATGCATTGGGTCCAGCTCCATTCCCGGTGCTGAGACGCTTCCGTCGCAAGTCACGATCTCCCTTCGTTCTGGAAACGAAGCGTGGAGCTACGTGTGTGTTTCAGTGCTACGGGAGAGGTTTTATAGTCTGCGGTGATTATACGGAGGATGGAAGCCTTCAGGTTGTCCCTCTGATTCCTTCCATAAGCGTCAAGTTTGCTAGTTTATATGTGCACGCATATCCCAGATTTACTGTGTGTGTATCTCAGTTGGGGTTTGAAAGGATTAACATAGGTTGCCTTTGCCCTCCATAGGCAATGTACTCTAACGGAGATAACAATGTGAAGAGTAAGGAAACAGCAAATGCTGAGTAGGCCAGTGACCATATGAACTATAGTCAGCAGACAGCCATAAAATGAGGAAATCCTGTCTCGTGATAGATTCTTTCTTGTGAAAGAATCTCTGTTTAAAAAAAAGTTTGTATTTCAGATATTGCCTAAAATGTCAATATTTTGTATTTTAGTATCTTGCTGCTGATTGTTGCCAGCCTTGCTGCTTACTCTGTATTTCTGCTGCTTAATATGTGCATTCAGACAGGTAAGTGAAGAACATGTGCAGAACATTAATTTGTAGTATATTTGTGTCTCTTCTACATGTCAAAGGTGTGACCGTGCAAATTAATTTTTATGACCGTGTCTTCCTATGTGATATTATGCATAATTCACTCAAGCTGTAATATTTTAAGTTTTCATATCTTTGTTGTTTACTTTGTCATAGAGATGTGCATATAAATGCAGAGTTGAAGTATTGCCATAAACTCAAAACCATTTGAGATAAAAAAAAAAAAAAAAAAATTACATTTTCTGATTATTATGCAAAGTAGAATAGCTTGCAACCTTTCAGTACTCCTGAAATGAAAGGTCTTGTTTCTTTTAGCACTGTTTTTACATCTGTATAGATTGGACATCCGCAAAAACTACTTCACAGTTAGGGCAGCTAGGAGCTGGAACCAACTTCCAAGGGAAGTGGTGCTGGCCCCTACCCTGGGGGTCTTTAAGAAGAGGCTGGATGCCTACCTGGCTGGACTCATTTGAGTCCCATTTTTGTTTTGGGGTTTTTTTGTTCTCCCGCCCTGGCGGGGGGTCGGGCTAGAAGATCTACTAGGTCCCTTCCGACCCTAAATCTATGAAACTATGAATTAGGGGTAGCAGTAAACCTTTGATTGCCTGCATTTGTAATCTACATTTGTTCACTTTGCTTATGGATACCTGTCAGCCTTAGTGACCTTATTGGATCATCATCCACCCCATTGCATTTCATCTGCACTTTTGTTTCTTGTCTTTAAAAATGGTCTGATGTTGAATGTCATCTGATTGTGATGTGATAAAGTATTAAATTATCCTAGTTCTAAGCGGTTTATTTAGGAAAGATTTCAAAGAATAACCTCAAATTTTCTGCTACCTAATGGTTTTAATTCTTTCTTTTGTAAAACTGTTATTGCAACCTTAAGCTAGTCCCTTAATCTGTGGTCTATATTGTAGCAAGAAGTTTCTGTCTCTAATCATCTGCCTTCTTATCGTTCCCATCTGTTCTCTTTTCTTTGCCTTAAGGATGGTAGGAAAACTTCTCTTTCCTTATTGCCTTTGTCTTCCATAACTACCTTTGATCACTTGGATGACTGCTTCCTGATTCCGCTCAAGGGACAGCTGCTCCTGTCTTGTATATTTTCAGTAGAGGTAGGGTTATGTTTCTGTAAGATATTATTGACTGTGTGATACTTTTGGACTAAATTGTGGTCATCTTTTTCTCTCTAGTGAGTTAGGATTCCAAGATTTGGGTTATCCAGTAAGTAGCCTAGGAGTAAAAAGTTTTGAAAATTCCCCTTTATTGTGGTAATGGTGATTTTATTTATATACACACACACAACTCTTCATAATCTTTTGATATATTTAATATTTCTCATGGGAGGTATCCATAAGGTAATAGGACTGGGTTTTAGGTGATGCAAGTTTTGTTTACAGGTTGGCGGTAAACTTGCAACAGGCTGGTGGTAAACTTGCAGCTGGCCCCAGGTCTCTCAGCTTTGTCCATTCCCTATCCCTGAAACTGGGTTAATAAAACTTCTTAGTTTCATTAGTTTATAATGCTTTGTATAACGAGTTCAGAGAGCGGATGGAAAAACTCCTATACATGCTAAGTGGTATTATTTTTAGGATGCTGTTAGTAATTATCTTCATGGACGGCCCGTTGCAAAGGAAATGCTGGAGGCAAGCCAAATGGATGGGGGAAGGGAGGAGGAAAAGGCTATTTAAAAAAAAAAAAAAAGAAGGAAAAAAGGAAGAAAAATATTTAATGTTGTCAACTTTGAGGATGTAAACCATCGTTATATCCTGGGTCTCCACGTCATCGTCTAAGAGTAATGTTACAAGTCTAGGCATCCTTTTTAGTACAGATTGATTTAAGCAAGAAGCACCACCAGCATGACATGATGACAGACCTTTCAGTTAGTGATTGCTAATCAGCTAAGGTCTTGTTAGGTTTCACTGGCACCAGAAATATGCTTCAGTGCTGCACTAAGTAAAATTTGATTCAAATTCCTTGATTTTAAATTTACAGGCTTCAGTGTTTTCATGTGATTGCTCTCAGTTTACACTTACTGCAGTTTGGTCAACAGTTCTTCTAGAACAAATAAGTAATTTTTATGTAGGAAAACATTCCAGGTCTTTTAATAGGAAACTGTTAAGTCTAAAAGGTTATGAAGTTGACCTGCTAGGCTTTTATCTTGGTGAAATCTGTCAAATTCTTTATATGTGAGACCCCTTTTTCAAAACAACTAAAAAAGAAGAAAAAAATTGCAGCAGGCTAGGTTTCATGGCCAGAACTACAATAATAGGCTAAGACATAGTCCAAAATTAGAAGGAAAGAGGCTTTAGTTTCAGTTAACATTAAGCCATGAATTGGGAAAACATTTTTAATGAATGAAAATCATAATGTTTGTAGTGTCCGTAAACTATCTATTAAGGCAACATCACATCATGGTCGGATGGGCTGGGGGACAAATGTAAAAAATAAACTATATACATCTGCCACTTCAGGTAAAGCTTCTCTATTAGTTGCACTATAGACAGAGATTGAGTTATATTAAGCACAGACATTTTAATCATCATGTCTGATTTTTAGTGATACGTACCCAGGACACTGTGACATTAAGTCTAGTTGCTAGTAGTGACCAAATGGCTTAGCACATAGCCACTGTAGTTTATACCAGGGTTTTGTGTGTTGCTCACCAGTGACCATTATTCAGCATAGTTTATTACCCTTATCTGTTTTGGGGACTAACCTGTCAAAAAGCTGTACGTATTCGGCAGGAGTAGAGATGTTTGAGCTGCTGCTACTACGTATGTTATATCTAACATATGTATTCATCAGCCTTGCTAGTATCATAATGATTGGTTTAACCTCTCTCATGATAACTGGATGATTTCCATTCAGGGTTTCAGAAATTAAGTATTTTTTACTTATGTTGTGTAAAGTAAAACATTCCTGCCTCCTGCCTCTGTGGGGCAGGAGGCAGGGCCCCACAAAGGCTGACCAATTAAACCAATTCAGTTTATTAATTTGCTCTTTACATTTTCAAATGAAACGCATTTTTATATTTTTGAAAAATTAAGAACACCAGGCTGTTCACGGGACTTAATTTCTAGCACAGATAAAGGATTAATTCTGAAACTCTGAACTCTTGCATAAGCCTTCTTTTCTCTTTCTGTTGATGATTTGTTCATTCCTTTCCCATGAGTATTTATTACGTATTTGTTCCTGCAGCAGTAGAAAGAACCCCTTCACAAGTATAGTGACTAGTTGGCCCTTTAGAATAATCTGTATTTCAAATGATCAAATACCGTATAAAGATATGAACAGGTAACAATACAGAATAGAACATAACCGGTCAGGTTTCTTACACTACTGCAGAACATGAATAACTCCAAAGTGGATGGAGCGCATTTACCCTGAGAGCAGACTGGCCCATCTTATTTTAGCGTACTGTTGATGGCAGTATTAGAGAGGTGTATATAAAACACAGAGCTTGTAAGAAGAATGAGCATTAGTTATTTCCTGTTGTATGTTACACTGACCTTGCTGGACTCGGAGCTTTACAGGCGGATAAGGTTCTGCTTCTGTCTTGAGAACGTCACAATCTGAGGCTGTAGTCCTGTAGTCTGATCCACCTGGGTTTATTCTTAATGGAAGCAGATGTCACCTGTCATTGTTTTTGTGCCACCATCAAACAAAAATGCTATGGGGGCACAAAGCGAAAGCAAAAGGACATCCATACCCTTTTTCAAGCTGCAGTGTGGTTGCAATCAAAGGTAGCAATAACTTGTGCTGTTTTATTGCAGTGGGCATCTATTTGCTTTATGATGGAAGAGTGAGGACAGCCCAGACCTGCCCCGGGCAGGTGCTCTGGGGGCTTGAAGGGCCCGATTCTGTGCATCTTGTGAATTCCTTAGCAGAATCGGAGCCCTCAAGCCCTGGAAGTGCCTGCCTGGATTTCCCCACTTATTGAGGTTGCCCAGTGGTGTACTGGTGGGGGCCAGAGAGAGGCCATGGCCCGCAGGTCCTGGCCTGGTGGGGGGGCGGGTGCTGGTCAGAGAGGCAAGAGCGCCTCCCACATTTGGTTTGTGGCCCACCTGCCTGCCCAGTGGGTTGTGGCTGTCTTTGGCCATTCCAGCTGGCACCCCTCCCTGCGTGCCTGGCGTGCCAGGATGATAATTCCCCCACGGATGTGCCGTGGGGCAGGAGGCAGGGCCCCGCACAGGCTGATTTGCTTTGATCCCTGCACCCTGCTCGGATCATCCCGGGGGGGGCGGAGGGGGAGGTGCAAATGCAGGTGATGGCCACCAGGTGCCGGAGACCCTGGGTACACCACTGAGGTTGCCCCTGGGATCTCATGGG